CACCTTGTTGGCGCCATGTCATCGGCCACATGTGACAGCGCCCTCTGACATCTGCAACAGTCTCCTCTCTTTTTCTTCTTCCCCACAAACAAGACACATTTCTCAAAAACCCTCCCTTTCCATAGCCCTCTTCTCTACTTTCCTCTCTGCATCTCTTTTCCTTGTTCATCAATCACTTCCCACAGCCACATTGTGTATATTTATTGAGCTAATTATGAACCACTCTGAAACCTGGAAAACCACAAAAACAACACTGAGATTATGATGATGATTCCAACAATGATGAACCACAACTACCACCACCCCCCAACTGTTTCCACAACCTCCATGCCTTCTCATCTCCTCTTCACCTGCTTCTTCTTACTCTTTCCCCTGCTACTACTCACTCAGCCTTGCCATTCCTCCACCACTATTCTCGTCGATGGTGTATCTACATGGAACAACCCTTCTGTCTTCGTCGGCGACTCTGTCAGTAAGTTCACTCATCATAATTTCCACTTTGTTCCCCTTTCTTCAACTGAATCTCACCCTTTCTGCAGTTTTCAAGCACAAGTACGGCTACAATCTCTACATCTTCCAGAGCTTCAGCGCTTTCACGCTCTGCAACTTCAGCCAGGCCACTCTACTCACGGACCCCGACTCCCCTTCGCATTCCTACTCGGTAATTTCGTCGAACACCTTCCGTGCATGCCTGCATTTCCCTTCTTTAACTGGCCATATTCCTCACAAGATCTGTGCTTTTCTTTTGGGGTTTCCCCCCATTTTACAGTGGCACACTTCCCGCCCAGGATTCTTCTACTTCGCCTTCTCCAACGGGTCCTCCTCGTCGTGCGATGAGCAATACTCCCAGAAGCTCGCCATCAAGGTCTCGCCGCAGTCTCCGGCGCCTGAATTTCCTCCCACGGCGGCTCCGGCATCACCGATTCCAGGCGGAGTGGTGTCGTCTTCACCTGCGTACCCGTGGCCTTTTCAGCCGCGGGAGAAGAGTGCTGCTGCTTGGGCGCCGGCGCCGGAGCCAAGTGCCTCCGCTGGCGGCATTTATGGAGGTGCTAGCGCGCCGATGAGGGTTCCGAAGATGTTGCCGGGCAAAGGAGGTGGGATGCCGTTCATAAATAGTAACCCGGCGGTTCCCCTGCCGACAGGGGAAGTGGATTCCACCACTATCCGCCCTCTGCCCACTTCTGCTAGTGCTGGCCACCAACAGGTAAATTACCTTGACCGTTTCAACTATGAAATCCTTTTGGGTTTTCATTAGGATTGTATCTTATAATGTTTGCTTGGAAACGAGAAATGAAATCCCGGTTTGTGGTGATAATGCAGATGATGAGGTGGAGGAAAGGATCAATTGGAGCAGAAATGGTTGGTCTTTGGGGTGTGTTCTTGCTGCTGTGGCTATGGATGTGAAAAAAACAGTGTGTCCAGTTAGGGAACAGAGTATGAATGAAGATATAACTTGGTCAAAGCACTGTCGCTTTTCCATCTTTTAACTATGTAATGCCTGTTCTAGTAGTTGAGAGATGGAAGATGGGATGATTTTGAATGAAATTATTAGCAGGGAAAAGTGGTGTGTAGATTTGAGAATGGCTAAAAAGAGGTCCAAAGTGGCTTTGTAGGGGGGATGTGCGAGATGATAATAATGATGGTTTTAGTGCTAACTGCTAAGTGGGCTTTAGGATTCATTTAGCACTTCTAAGTTCTAAGCCCCCTTTGGTTTCCTTTTCAGTTTTCACCTTGCATTATATTATTTCCCTTTTAGCCCCATCTTTTTTTTCATTTATATAATTCTCTCCTAGGGCTAGGCCTTCTAAGTATTGCTTTAATTGTGGATTGTCAGGATTGACGATGGAGTGCTTCTGATGCACACAAGAAATGAAAAAAATAAAGCGATTATAATTAGGGATGGCAATTATGCCCATACCCATGGGTATTTTACTATCCAACCCAATTGGGTTGGGTATGAAATCCAAATATATGGATATGGGTAAAGTTTGATGGGTTTGTACCTACACCCATTTACTTTGGGTTGGGTTTATAACAAATGGATTTGGGTTTGTACCCATGCCCAAATACAAATTACAGTTTGGTACCTAAACTTAATAGATATGCATATTTAGTACCTAAATTTAATTTTTTTGCATATAAGTCCTCAAAATATCGATGGAAAATTACGTTTTGGTACCTAAATTTTTTTGGTCTTACATTTTGGTACCTAAATTTTTCAAGTTTTACAAATAAGTCCAATTTTTGCATGGGTAGTTAAGACACCCTCAAGTAAATGGATATCCATATCCAACCCATACCCATTTAGATAATATCCATATCTAACCCAAACCCATATACAAACCCCAAACCCATACACACATCACCCAAACCCTACCCATAATAGATGGGTCTACTTGGGTTTGGGCAAAATTACCCATGGGTGGGTAAATTGCCATCCCTAATTATAATGTGGTTTTGTTCGACCCACATAATCTTTGTTAGATTGTATATATCACAATTGAGACGGTTTTGTTCGGCGCACATAATTTTGCATGATTTACTTAAAAGTAAAAAAGGTCTTTCGTCTCAAACAATTACTCAATTAATTGTCAATAAAAATGGATAAATTCTCTCTTGAAAAGGAAAATGATTAGATTTGATGGTAAGTACTAAGTACACGTACATTATCCCCTTTTTTATAGTAAAAATCCAAGCATTATCCTTAACATCAAGGGTTCATAACTTCATATGATTGAAAATGAATCAAGGGTTTCATAGTAACTTTTTATCATTCGATTCGGTGAACCATTTGTACACTACAACCATAATGAAGGGCCGTTAGCTTCCCGCCAAGGTTGTCAAACCCTTTATCGGACTCTCGGTTGGACTCGGTCCGACCTAAATCAGGCTTCAAAACGACCTACATAAAGCCCTCCGGTCTGACCCCTAAAAAGGTAGAAGAAGAGAGAGGGAAGGGAGGAGGGGAAAGAAGGAAGGGAGATTGTGAGTGGACAATAGAGGTTAGATAGTTTTATGTGAAAAATAAGTTTATAATAAATATCATTTTAGTTATTAGATTGTATATATATTTAAAAAACGTATAAAATGGCTCAAACCAGTTGGACCCCAATCAAACCGTTAAATCTCAAACTCCTTGATTAATCGGCTCAATGACTTAAATCGATTTGACAACCTTGCTTCCCCACCAAAACTGAGAACACTTGCTCCAAATCGACATTGTATTCCCAAAGACACAAAATCAGCATAGCAAGCGATATTATGTGCATTTAACTTTACTAGTCTAATCATATATGATATATCCTCTCCACAACAAGACCTCCACTTTCTTGCTTTAACATAAGATGAGGCCCACTTAAGAGAAAGAAACTTCTATAGGCCCATGTCTATTTGAGCATATAAGTAGCCTAGCCCATAGGTGATTGAAATGGCCATCTTTTAAATGATATCACCACATAATTATCAATTCCATATCAATATCATACCAACCTGTCATAGTAATCAAAGCATATGCTACAAAGTTTTAAGTATAATAATAATAATAATAATAATAATAATAATAATAATAACAATAATAATTAATTTACTTAAAATGTAGAATTTAGCTTGAATTATTGCTGGTCGTGCTAACTTGTTTTCTCAAAAAACTTGGTATGGTACCAATAGAAAATAGGATGTGAAGATTTCAATAGTAATGTAATTATACTCAGTTAGAGTTGGCATCAGCTGGTGAAGTCAAGTTGAAACTAGAGATTAAAATCCCACCAATCTTGAGTCGTTTGGAACCTTTGATTCTGTAAATGATGTATTATGAGAATGTGTGTATAATAGATTATGTGTATGCTAAGAATGTGTGGTTTTGAAAATTCATTGTTTGGAAATCATAAGAGAATGCATGGATTATAGTTTAAATGAACTATGGATACTAAAATCTCACCAAAAAAGTAAGATTCACTATCAATCATTTTTTATGTATTAGGAATACAACATGGATTATGAATACATGCATTCTGCTATTACATCAAGTCAAAAAACATTGTATTCTAACAGATACATGTATACTGAGAATACAACGTTTGGAATCGAAGGTTCCAAACGAGACCTAAAATATAGATAAAATTACATGTAAAATTTACACAAACGGAAGTACATTTCCTCGCCAGAGAGCTTGTGGTCCACAATCCCTCACCACAATCTATCTTTAGATACCTCGATCGAGTAAATTGCAAGTTTGGTCACTGGGTCTGGAATTACTAAACAATTTCACGTTTGCCACTGAAATTAGTTTATTCCATTTCTGGTCACTAAGATTAGTTCAACCATTCAAAATTTGGTCACTCTCCGTTAGTATCCGTTAAGTTTATCTGATGTGGCAATCAACTCTGTTAGTTGGCCGTTAAATAAATGACGTGGCAATTAAAAATTAATAAAATAATAATAATTAACATTTTAATTGCCACGTCACTTATTTAACGGTCAACTCTCAGAGTTGACTACCACGTCAAATAAACTTAACGAAGACTAACGGAGAGTAACCAAACTTAAACTATTGAACTAATCTTAGGGGTCGTTTGGAGAACAAGATTTAAATCGTGGATTTATTGAATCCATAGATTTAGCAAAATGTGATGTTTTTTTGCTACTTTTTGTATCGTGAATTGTAACTTCAGAGATTTTAAATCTCTAAAATCTAGAGATATCAAATCTCTCATAATTAGAGAGATGCAACATTTTGATTTTGATTTTGGAGATTTTCTCCCTCCTATTATATCTCTTGTTTTTTTCATTTATCCCACTAAATACCCTTACCAATAAATTCTCAATATTTTTCGAGCCAATCTAATTATTTTGGTTAAGGATAAACATGTTATGTGATAAAAAAAATAGAATTTCGTTTTTCATTGGATGTTAACAATCATAGTTACCAAACAATGAACATTTTCAAATCTTTTTTCAACAATCCAAAGAGTTAAAATCTTTGGATTGTATAAAATCTAGAGATTTAGACTCCAATTCTCCAGACGAGCCCTTAGTGACCAGAAATTGTATAAACTAATTTTAGTGGCAAACGTAAACTTTTTTAGTAATTCTGGTGAACATTACCCGACCTCTAAATTATATGGTCCTTTTCCATCCAAATCCCCACACCAATGGAGTTTCCAAACATCTGGTTCTCAAATCCCCAGCTGTTGCTAACAAAAGGTTGGAGATTTGTCATTCGCTCAACAGAAACCCAACGAGAACATCAAAACATTTCAAATTACAATATACAAAACCAGTAAGCTGCCGCGTGTGGAAGACAAAATAGGCCACACCTTCCATTTTCTGATGATCATGATACTGCCAAAGAAAATGCAACAGAATTAGTTTGGCCCATGTATTGTCGGTATACACACCAGAGACTTCTTACTTCACTTCATTAGCCCCCACCAAAAACCCATCATAAAATGGAAATTTGGCGCTTCTCATGCAATATGCCACTTATTTTATTCGAGTTGGGTACTGAAAAAGAAAGGACCTTTCCCTAAACCATTAATGCCCAGATGGCCCTGTCCTAATAGAAACACTTGACGATGACTAATCAGTGTTTGTCCCGCGGATTAGCCCCTCTAATCAAAGAGTTGATCACATGCAAGACTAACCTTCATCAAACTGTTGGTTATGTATCCATCAAGATCGCAATTTTAGGAAGTGAGCGGGTATTAGTTGATGTACCTGCCACAAATTCCTCACTGGTGGCTGAGTTGACTTCCAGCCCCACCTGTTTTGCTAAGGCTGATGAATGAGTCCCTCCCTTTCTTTCTGGCCAGGAAACTTCAATTTCCTTGCATCTGTTGAAGCTTGACCCCAGGTTCATGAATGGCCTGCAGATTGTCTATTGACTCTGTCGCCTCGTTGGCACAGCTGCTGACGGTGCAGAGTCCTGTACACAAGTCAGATAAAAATTGCTGAAAAGTTGAAACCTTACAGAAAACAGCTTTTTGCCATTAATGCTAGGGGAGGTAATAACTGCTCACGGTCGCATATATTGCTGGCGTGAGCGGAGAAGGGCCACCACTCCTCAAGTTATAGCAGCATCTCCCATCTGCTTGTAGTAGTAGGTACCCCAAATTCATCTTTATCTACATGCTTTGGATGCTTACACTTCACCAGCCAATGCCTGCACCACAAACCAGCAAATACTGAAACCTTTCAGCAGATAGATCTAACTTCTTTCAATTTTACTGTTGAATCCAAGTCACCAGCTGGTAAATAAATAGCAGACGGAACTCAGAACATAACGAGACAAAAGATAAGCAATAAGACTCCGTAGATCTTTGTTCTAGAAGATAAAAAGTATACATATGCTATGGTATGGAAGCTTTCAGAAAGCAGAGGATTTGGGGAATTCTGAGAAAACAAAAAAGTAACATACTTTACTCAATGGCTGCCATAGTGCACGTTACTGCCTCACATGGCCAAAGAATAAACATATCATTAAGCATTTCTTCCACACACACAGACAGCTCAAACAGCAAATTTCTGTCACCTTGGATGCTATGCTCCCTTCTTCAATCACACACCCATTTCCATGTGACAGTTAATAACAACGATCAGGTCAATCTAGGAATGTCTTCAAACCCTCACGCCAGAGTATCAAAACACTACAGATCAGCCATTTAAAATAATAGAGACTGATCGTTACATTACAGCCTGCCAGCAGCAGCACTTGTTGAGGCTACAGTACAGCTCCAAGTTCTTTGGCAATCAAAATAAGAATTAAGAAAATCTGAAACTGAAACACACAAGAGAGGATCACGGTAACAGGGGTCAACAAACCCTATTATAAACAATATACAAAGCACCACAACAGTTGCAGACACATATTTCAATTACATGCATCCCTTTCATTTATGAGTGGGCACAGAAGCTGAGACCGAGTCAAAGTCAAAGCTCACATGGCTGCCATTGGAGGCTCCTTCCACCATGTAAGAAGAAAGAAACCAAATACCACTTCTGTATCATTTGATTTTGAACAAAGATACATAATTTAGACTGAACCACCAAGAAGAATTTCACATGGGAGAAAGTCAAAGTCACAACACACACAGCTATCTATGATCAGGATAGACAAGTATGGACCTTGACCTCTCCACCCAACGATTCACAATGTCCCCATGAAGGCAAACACAAGCTCCATACTTTGCAGTAGTTTATTAAAAATGGTCAGGACACGAGGCAATAAACAAATTCTATATGGTACTTCTTGTGCATATGTTCTGAACAGAAGAGTTTGATTAGCATTAACTGCAGACGGCTGTGTATACTTGCATACAGATTTGAAAAACAACAAAATCTGCCCATGTCCTACTCTAGGAGACAGCCAAGATAAGGTTGGTTAGGGATATGAGAGCAAAAAATGAAAGACACCTCATAATGAAGGTTAGCCTTGGTGTAAAAATCGATTACCTAAAGACATAACAGGGAAGTTTCTGGTGGAGGTAATATATGAAAATTTTCCAGTGGCAGTTATATCTTATGTGCAGGTGAAAAACGACCAAGTGGGTACCTGTAGAATTGCTCTCGGTGACAACATGCTCTGGCTATGTGGTTCTTCAAACTGAATGACCAACACAGAATCTGTACTTTGAACAGTGACATTTTCCTTTGAATCAATAGCCAAACGATATCTATACTTCCAATCTCAACAATGCCTACCATGAAGCAAAAGGCCAAGTGCAATACATTAAACGTGGTACTAAAAGAAGCAATTTACTGAGAAAGTTTCATTATACAATAAAACACAAGCTGGAGATCAGCAGGAGCACGGATCCAAAGTCCCCAATTTCCCATAATCCTAAAATATGTTTCTCTACACATATACTGATGATGGTAAATAAATACAAGAACTCCTTTCTTTTACCACCCAATTTCATTACCCATTTATTTTCACTGCTGCGCTCTGAGCCATCTTTCTCATTGCTTCAATCCCCCCCAATTCCTTCAATGAGCATCGTTGTGATTACCTCTTCCTAGAGTATCAAGCCCTTCCGTCCGGGTATGAACGATTCTATGGAACACCTCTCTCACTTGTCTCTCCAAAGGCTCCAACCCCTCCTTAAAATCCTCACATATTTGGCCCAATTCCTGGACTTTCTCCCTAACTTCTCGCTCCCTTTCCTCCGGCAATGGAAACTGCACAGAATCTGCTAATTCAGACAGCACCCTCGAGCATTTATCCATCTGATAAATCTCCCTCAACAGTCCACAAGCATTCCTCCTATCCCGTTTCCTCGACTCATCGAGTATCCTCTCGTGCATTGAGGATAGAGGGGCACCCCAGGAGAAGTGTCTGGGAATCGAGAAATGAACCTGCAAACCCCTATCCTGGCATGGGATCGCCGCCACAAGAGCCCACATTACAAAAAGCAGAACAGAGTTCATGGTGTAGACAGCAATGGCGAGACCACTGGTGGACACGACCTCGTTGGCTCTGGGCGCCGCAATGTTGGTTCCGATTGCCTGGAGCTGCCTAGCTGCAGACCACGACCGCGAGACGCTCCAAGACAAGGACCTGAAATGGCCAAGCGCCCGCAGGTGGTTATCCTTGGAAGAAGATTGATGCCGGCCGAAAGATCGGTTCCTGTGGGACAAAGCAGCGGTGCACTCTTTCTCATCGAGCATGGAGATGGACAAATCGATCAGTGCCTTCTTAGCCCGGCGGAAATGGCCTTCTCCGAGAAGCCTCTGGTTATCCAAGGCGCAGAGAACAATTTCCAACAGCTTCCTCCACTCCCTGATCTGCTCAATCCCATCGCGAATGGCGTTACAGAGATCCAAGGCCTTAACACTCCGCTCGTAGAAATCGTGGACTAACCGATCCAACGGCGCCTTACCGCAATAAGACTTGTTTCTCGATAAAATTAACCTGAACTCCTCCTGGCAACAGAGGAACGCATCGAGCAGCTTCCGGATCCAGGCGAGGGAAAGCAAATCGTCAGATCTAACCGACGAGAGATCCAGGAACCTCTCCCCTACCAATTTCTGAAACGCTTCGAGCTCCGACTCGAGACCGGAGCTCTCGTGGCTGCTGTTGTGGCCGTGCCCATCCATGGAATGGACCTGATCGCGACGCAGACTCAAAAGTGCCCTCCCGAATGCTGCCGACGATCCTTGAAAATCCGTCGCCGGCATTCTGGAACAAGAACCAGAAATGGGAAGCTGGAAATCACGACGAAAGAGAACGGGGAGAATCCGTGGGAAATCGCTTCCCTCAAATCCGCATTTAAGGTTAAATAGAAGAGTCGAATTGGACGGAATCGGGATTGGAACGGGAATTTCGACTCGGAAGATGGCAGCTGAAAGAGATTGTGGGGAAGATGGAAAGTGCGGAGAAGGAAGGAGAGGAGAAGAAGATGTGGGGGAATGATGAGAAACCCTAATTGGAGCCAGCGGGCATTTTATTGGGAAGATTTGGACCGCGTTTTATGGTTGTGTGTGTGAGAGAGAGAGAGAGAGAGAGACGACGGAACGTCTATATCGAGAAGTTAAATTAAAAAGCTTTTTAATTTTTTAAATGTGTTACCTTAATTAGAATATTAATAACATTAGATAAGACAAATGAAAAACAAATATTTATCCACAAAATTGTTTACATTTATTTTTTTCATAAGGGAAAATTAATATTTTCTACTGCAAGGAGAAATGAAGGGAGAAGGAGAGCCATAAGGGAAAATTAATATTTCAAATGCATAACTTAAAACTAGATTTAATGTGATGCTATAATCTAATGTATGCATTGTTATTATGATTCTCTTAGAAATTTATTTTTTTTGGGTTAATATATTTGTCTGACTCAAAATTTTTTTATATTTAATATTCTGACTAATACTTTTGGTATTTAACTCATAGCCTGAACTAATACTACTCTTTAATAATTTGGCAAAACCCGAGAGATGAATTGATAAAATTATATAGAGCAAATTTCATAGATATTACAATTTATTAATAAATATGGCATATACACATATTTTCTAGAAGCACTATTGAACTTTATCTAAAATTAGTAGACATTTTAAAGCTCGTGATAATTATTTCACTAACAACCCTGATACTAGTTCAAGTAATCGAGATTCGATAATTAGCATGTGAGAAAAAGGGTAGTGTGATTGCAAATTAAATTATTATTATCTGGCTTAACTTTGCTTTTGCCCTTTTTTATGGAGCTTTTGCCTTTTTAGGATTTTATATAATGTCAATATTAAATTACTGGGGTTAGGGAGCTAACTTAATTAGAAACACCATTGTCGCGGGCTTTTATAGAAGGAAGGAAGCGAGCGCTTTTTATGTTACTCGGAGTCGGAATCGGAGAGGAGAGTAGCGAGTTTTCGCTTACACGGACTCCACACGGACACGAGTCGAGGACAGAGACAGGAGACTTGAAGTGGGGGCCACCTGGATGACGTGGATGGGGAGAGGGGGAGAGGAGTGAGGATGACGTGACGGGGACGCTCGTGAGATTGCCACGCTGTACGGGTCGGGGCGGATACGGGCGCTGAGGGAGAATTCCGGAGGGGAAGGTGCACACGTGGAGAGGGTTACAGCTGGGTCTTAGTTGGCGCGTAAATGTTGGTGGACAAGACGACGAGATCTCCTGACTGACTTGGTCTTTTCTTTTTCTCTTTTTTTTTTTGTTGTTGTTGTTGTGTGTTTCTCTTTTTCTTTTTATTTAGCTTCTTCCGCTTCTCGACGATTGCTTGATTTTATTTTACAAGAAACCCAATAAATAAATTAAAAGAAACTGAGTCATATTTAGGAATGGCAATGGGTCGGGTTGGGTCGGGTTTTGCCAAACCCAAACCCAAACCCATGGGTTTATCTTCGAAAAAAACCCGGGGTAAAACCCACTGGGTTTGAAAAACTCAAACCCAACCCAACCCGTTGGGTATCCGCGGGTTCATGGGTACCCACGGGTTTTGTCGTAAAAAATTTACAATTACAAATTCTTATCAAAATTAAAGTCAAATATCAATCTCTTAATACAAATTATCCATATATAAAACACAATTCTAGAAAATTCAAGCAAATCACAAATTAACTATACAAATTGTTCAACACCAATCTAGAAAACTCAAGAAAATTGAAACAAATCACAAATTATCCATAAATAACATGTTTAATTGAAAGCTTCTTCCTTTCAATTAAGTTTCTTTACTCTCCACTCCATAACATCAACTTCATTCTACACAATTAAAAAGAAAAAATTAGACATGTCTCCACAAACATAAATAAGATTAGTTGTTTACAATATTAAATATATCGAAAAAGTTAATTATATGGGTGGGCGGGTACCCACGGGCCGGGTTTACCTAAACCCAAACCCAACCCAACCCGTTGAATAGTGAACGGGTTTAAACCCAAACCCGGCCCAAAACCCGTCAACACGGATTTTACCCGCGTTGACCGGATTGGGTCGGGTGGGTACCCGTGGGTTCGGGTTGTGTTGCCATCCCTAGTCATATTGGTTAAGCTTTTTACCGGGGGAAAAAATATTGGTACACCTTACAAAGGTAGGGATGAGAACGGGTCGGATAGAAGGTGGATAGTTCATAAGCTCGTAATATCGATTGAAGTTCAGATATCATATGAGTTAGTTCATAAAATTTAAATATTCATATGGTAAATGAGATGCATTTGGTCACTTACTCACAAGTCTTAAATATCATATGTGATGAGATATATAATCTGACAAACCAATGAATTGTCAACAAGCCAACTGATGAGCTATAAATCGATTTGCTCATAAACCACTAGTCAAGATGGCTGGCTAGTCACACTCTCGAGTCAGCTTATGGCTCAAAACGAGATAGATCACGAGTGACCTCAACAAGCCATCGAGTTCAGTTTGTCTCGCGAACCTTGTGAGCTAAACAAGCTCAAACTCATAGACTCGTTAGTAAACAAATCGAATATCGGGTGCCGAGTCGCTCGTGAGCAAGTTGACTCATTTGCAATAGCTCTACGGGAAAGCAAATACTCAAATTCTAGATTACTTAGAAACTCAAACTAATTCCACACTTGCATTAGCACTCCAAAGGCTTAGATAAGTAATGTCACCTTTGTTACACCAGGTGTGTAACAAACGGTTGACGAAATGCGAATATGAACTAGAAACACATGATGACCATGAAGTGAGTTCTAACTTATTCGGACAACAAAAGAATTAAACGAAGTTCAGTTGGATGGAGTTTACCTTGATCATCACCAAATATGACTGACTGGAACAGCTAGAATTGCTAATTGATTCATAATAGTTTCTCATTTGAGTTATTTTCAAATTCACAAAAAGGTCGTAGTCATTTTAATATGTCTAACGACATTAAAAAATTTATCTTGAATTTTTACATTTACACTAGACACATCCAAATTGCTCATTAGAATGTTCTATTTGCTTATAACCGTAGTACGCATTTCATTACAACCTGTTGCGCCCCATAGAAGAAATTCATTTAGTAATGTAGCTTCTGTCATCATTAATAGACATAAATTCTGTATTTAATAAGACTATTTTCTAGTCCGGCACTAGTTATATTATTTATTAATTAGTAATGATCTGGAATCATGAAAGGGGATAAGATAATAACATAAGATATCCAAAGTTAAGGTGACAAATATATAAAATGATAAAACCATAAAACTAAACATCATTTTATTTTTAATTATTTATTGAAGGAACCATTATCTACTTGTTTTTATCTTTATAATTCATATACCCCAATGTCACATCAAAATTCATGCTCCCGATGATAAAATATCCATCCGTTGAGGTGGCTATGAATGCTCGCAATAAATTTATGCAATTATCAATTTCTCATGTTGAACAAAACAACATAATTGAAATCGATTTAATTGTATTGGTTGATTTTCAAAATTGGGTTCATGCACTTGACAATTTTCACAATAATAGTTATAGAAAATGTTTCTAAGAAATTTAGGTGCCCATAACTGGATTATAGCTAAGATGATTGGAACATTACGGATTTTGAAGATAAATATTAAGTCTGAATTCGTCAGTTTTCTTTCTCTCATCCAAACTAGACTCTCCAAGAGAGAGATAAAATTCCTCCTCTGGCAATTTTTTTCGTGGGGAAAATATCAAAAATATGTTGTAACTTCAACACAAAGCTAGAAGTGACACAAGATTCTATGGCAAAAAAAAAAAAAAAAAAAGAGAAGTGACACAAGATTATCCTTTTGTTATTCGAAAAAGTTAGATTTTGTTTTTATTGTTTATAATATTCAATTCGATGAGTTCATAACACAAACCTATTATTCATATGATATAGTAACATTTCCTCTATTTCTTAAGGAAAGAAAATTGGAGCAAAATTTAGGTTATCAATATTTTTTTTTTTGTTTCATAAGAGGGCAATTTTTTTAATGAATTGGTGGGTTCTATTCATAAAAAGAGCTACTATCAACACACCTTGATAGTTGGGTTTTTAGACTATATAAGTATCCATATTACAAATTAACTATAATGGTACTGAAAACTATATACGAATCTAGTTAACAAACAAGTTAATCGCCTATGAGATACAACAATGCATTCAACATATAACTTTATACTATGTAGTAACTTTCGACCGCCCTGTTTTTCCTGCATATAATTTGCAGCGCACCTTTCCCTCCAAACTTGACTTATCCATGCCTGCCAAATTATTCTACCTGTCTCGGCTGCTTCATCTTGTCCGCTAAAGTTTTGGACCACCCAGCTCCTGCCCCCTGGCACATGCTGCGTATATCTGTTAAATAAGTTTCCAAACAAGCTCAATGCGCACACACACCTGGTGTATAAATGTTCTTTGTTTTCCACATAAGTTCCACACAAATAGCAATTCAAAGACCCTGCATATATCCCCATTTCAGCATCCTTTCTTTTGTATTAATGCTGCCTATTATAATCAACCATGTACGAACTCTGTTTCTTGGTATTGCCTTACCCTTCCAGACTACGTTTGCCCAAGAAACACGCTGCTTCCTTGATCCCAGGACATCCCATACTTGCTTGATGGAGTACTTCTTCACGGGGGTTGTATTCCAATACACCTGACCATCCCTCGCAGCAAACAAATGTCGAACAACAGCTCTTAAGGATCTTCCTCCAATTCCAAGATCTAGACCCTGCTCTTCCAATATAGTCCCATAATCCCTAACCTTTAAACTTTTATTTGCCAATCCAAACA